ACACACACACACACACTATATATATATATATATATATATATATATATATATATATGTAGGTATGTTTGCAGGTATGTATGTATTTATGTGTCGTTGAAACCGAATCCGGCTAACGATGGGTGTCCGTCTCCGCTGATGGGCCTACAATATACCGCTAGTCATACGCGCATGTACTCTCAGGTGTACTAAAGTACCTGAAATCGCTTCAGATTTTCGGTAAACGGTGGGCTTATCTCTGCCTGGTTGTATCTAACGGATTGTACGGTTTGTACTCTATATGGCTGGATGACACCAACAAACCCCTAAACCCAAACACCCTCTACCTCCAACCTTAACTCTAAACTCGAAACGTTATACCCTGAACTCCAAACCCTATTCCCTAAACCCCAAACCCTGTTGTGTAGGTAGCGGCAGCCAATTGGAAGGCTGGCGTGGAGTTGCTCAAGAGCGCGTCACCGAATGGCCACGAAATGCTCAAAGCGAATGGGCACGCACCGACTGCCGGTGATCTGATGCACATGCCAAGTCTGGCACAAACACTGCGACAGATAGCCGAACACGGCAAAAAGGTACAACAAACTAATATATTTTGTACTAGTATATGCTATACAAATACTATGCTAGTATATGTTGCACTAGTGTATACTATACATATACTATGCTCGTATATATTGTACTAGTATATATTATACTATTATATACTATATTAGTATATATTGTAGTATTATACTATACATATACTATACTAGTATATATTGTACAACATACAAATGTATTCTATACTAGAATATACTATACTAGTATGTACTATACCGGTATATATTGCGCAGCATACTAGTATATATTACACTGTAATCCATGCATGTAGGATTACCGTATCAATATTTTTTTTCTGCGCGATTTTGTACAACCACAAACGAGCAAGTGATATAAGGCATAAAAGAGCCAGGCAGACATTAAAAATAGGTCCACCTTTATTTATGTGTAGTTACACCTGTACACACTTGTAGGTCCCTTTGTATGTAGGCACACTTGTACGCGTGTGTATGTTGAATTAGAACACTACATCGACTGACTACTGGTTTTGATGCATGCAAGTGTCGCAGTGGTTGTGTGGTGTATTTGCCAGCTATGGTAGGACGAGACCTTAAATTGACCAGTGTCAGTTCGATCTAATGGGTACATTATAAGTCTTGCAAGTACAAAAAAAAAGATTGCAATGGACAATTTAAATAAAAAAACAGATGGGGAACGGATCTGACAATTTGATCATATGATGTTTGTAGGGCTTCTATGAGGGATATGTTGCCGAAGCGATTGTGAATGTGATTAAGAGCCTGGATGGTCCGATGGATCTGAGTGACTTGTCAGCACATACTACCGACGTAGTTCAGCCAATCAAGTACGAATGCATACGTAAGAGATATGTGGGAAGGCGTACGTACATTGGTGAACAGCAAGATGGAATCACATGGATGGGTTGATACGTATTTGCATGTGTGTTCATGTGTGTGAAGACATTTCATGTTGTGGTGA